ATAAGATCACTGATAAGCATCAAAGAGCTGTTCTTGAGAAATTGAAGATGAAGGAGAGAAGCAAGGTCAAAACAGATCCACATATAGACACAAACATAAACATGGAACAGAAAGAGATGTAGATAAGGTGACTTGGACACATTGGGGAGAAGAGGAAAAAATAGAAAGGAAACAGTTGGCAATAAAAGAAAGAAAGGAGATGACTAATATAGAAAAATTTTAAAGGTGGGATGTGGAACATATAGGGAAGGGATTACCTTGAAAAAAGTAGAAAGTTATTCCCATGAGACACCTAAGAAAGAAGTAAAGATACAGAAAACAACACTGAAGCTGAGAACAGGGAGCCTGACAAAATATTATATATTAAATAATATAATGTCAATCTCATCGATAAAGTATGGGTTGAAGTTGACTGCTAAAACTACATGGCCAAGGTGAGGCTCAGGTCCACTTGAAGCAATAGGAAAACGAGTAAACTACTGCTAAATATAAGCAGGAGGGTCTGGGAGGCTGGTAATTTGAGACCCTAGGAAGCCTAGAAAGGAGAGGTCAAGGGCAGAGGGACCATCACAAGTAACAGTGATTATGAACAAGTCTCTGGGGTTGGAATGGGTCCAAAGCCCATCCCGCCACTTCTCAGCTATGAAACTTCAGACAAGTTACTTAACCTCTCTCTCTGCCTCAGTGTCCTTAACTGAAAAATAGAGATGATAGTATTATCTACCTCAGAGGATTGCTGTTAGGATTAAAGATATGAATAAATACAAATTACTGGAAATAATGCCTTGCCCATGGAGAGAACACCCAGCCTTCTCTACTTCACTTTGTACTCAGTGTGGCTGACTTCATGAAAAAGGAAAATATTTTTGAACTAAATTACACTGAGTAAATGACAGACCACAGATCATTCTTAAATTTTTTGTAAATTTAAAAGTGGACTGTTATTAGCCCCAGACGTCTCTAATTGGCTCAATTTCAGGCTTTCTCAGAAGTAAAAAACAAAACCAAAATAAAATAAAACAAATTCCAGCATGGTGTGATTCTGAATTATTAAACCTTTTTACCTTTCTCTACTTCTAAATTTATTCATTATTTGAAAATCTAAATCTCTGCCACTCTGACCACAAGTTTCTATATCAGCTACAGAAGGCTGAGGTTAAACAGTTCTACAGGCATGTGTTGGATGTGAGGGTCGAGTGGATAAACTGTATCAGATCAGGCACATTTTGGATTTGTATGTCAACCTGTATTGGATACCTACATTAGGGAATGGATGTGCGCTGTCTTAAACAGTTTAGGAGACTGTTGAGTCACAAAGTGACCATACCTTTTTAAAATTCCCCCCAAGTGTCAGAGAATGCCAAGTATCTCAAGTCCCAGGAGCTTCAGCTACTGGATCTGCCTTTATAGACTTCTGCCTGTGTGATATCTATCTGCAACACTCTCATGTTTACTACATCCATCATGTTGTATACAATAATTATGCAAGTGTTTACAAGAGAGCATCACAAAGGATAAATTTTAATAGAGTGTATTACAGCCAGTCATTTTCCTTTGATGTCTCAAAGATGTGGAGTAGAGTTTATTTCCATCTATTTAATCCTTGAGAAAACATTTGCAGAGTACCATTAACATAAGTAAACTCTTCAATACCCCTTTATCAAAATGCCATCACCGGGACTTCCCTGGTGGCGCAGTGGTTAAGAATCCGCCTACCAATGCAGGGGACACAGGTTCAATCCCTGGTCCTGGAAAATCCCACATGCCTCGGAGCAACTAACCCCATGCGCCGCAACTACTGAGCCCGCATGCCACAACTACTGAAGCCCACGTGCCTAGAGCCGGTGCTCCGCAACAAGAGAAGCCACTGCAATGAGAAGCCCGCCCGCACACCACAACGAAGAGTAGCCTCCGCTGGCTGCAACTAGAGAAAGCCTGCGTGCAGCAACAAAGACCCAACGCAGCCAAAACTTAATTTTTTTTTAAATGCCATCACCGGTTACAACTCTCCAATTCGTAATATACTTGCCATGGATAGCTTTCCCTATTCCACAATTCCCAGTTTAAGCCGAGCCCATTGCTTTAAGTGTCTACAGCCATGAGAGAGCAGGAAATTTCTTATGAAGAGTCTCAGTGAGGAGAAAAAGCAGATCTTCCTTGTGTGGAACGATCTTACCCACTGCAGGACAATCAGCACCCCAACCCGCCTCCATACCCAGCACCAAATGCCAACAGAACCCTATAGCTTTCACAACAGTCAAAAAAGCCCCACAGGTTCCTCAATATGCACTAGGTAGAAGGTACTAGCCAGCCTCCCACTGAGAACCCCTGGCACTGATTACAAAGAACTTCTTAGAAACACTGGTTGGGCCTAGGTGTTCTGAAAGGGATGATATTTGTTAAGAACTCCAGCACTGGAATTCGAACTACCTGGATCCAAATCTCATGAAGTCTTGGAGTGTAAACGTAACCTGACTGTGTCTCTTTCTTCATCATAAACGGAGATGATAATGATGCCTACCTCGTAGGGCTATTTCCAGGATAATATGAAATAATACATGTAAAGTAGTTAGAAATTTGCCTGGCATCTAACTAAGAATTCAAAAAGGTTAAGTATTCATTACCTGTGATTTCCAACGTGGAATTACATAGGAGGTACGTAGGCACTCTTTGTGAAATACTGACTTTATGAATCTGCCTAACCTTAGTTATACGGGGTTTCCTAAAAGTGATAAGACAAGGTTATCAGATCAATTATCATTAGAGTTGGAGGATCTATATGTCATACATTACATCTTTTGCTTCATTAGTAAAATCTCCTTTGAAAATGAGCTTACCTGTGGAGTAATGTACCGTAAGTACAATGCATTACGTTTAGGCTGACTGTTATTTAGCTGCACAGTCATTTCCTCTTTTCAGTTGTCACCCCAGCTCCAAAATCTGCTCAAGTACAAGATCAGCTACACAAGATCAGTGCCAGTCAGTAGGATGATGTGTTCTCATTAGTGGTCCTCATCTCATTAGAAGCCTGCTCTCACTGATAATGGACCTCAGAGGTCAATAAAAATCTCAGGAAGAATTCTCTTTAATTTAATAGATGGACAGGTGTGTGGAAGCCAAGTGCTATACATGGTTTTATTGCACATGCCTACAATGATTGCAAAGGCATCTGCAGAAACCTAGCACTAAATCCCAACATGGTTCCTGCTGAAGAAACCATTAACTCTAATACCAGGGTTTCCCATCCAGATTTCAGAAAGTACTAAGAGTCATCAGAGTGATCTCAATAACTCAAGAAAGAGCATCTCTATTAAACACCCAAGAATTTATATTGGTTTTAATATCCAATCTCATCTCACCTGATAAATGAATGAGCTGCAGCAGCAGTGTCCTTTAAAAAAAATGCAATGTCATCCTTCCAGCCTTTTCAACAAAAGTATCAATACTGAAACATGAGTTAAAATATCTAAGCAATATGAAAAGTGAGGTGGGATTTCAGTTGTTTTTCAGTGTCCCTCCCCCAAAGGAATTTTTCTGTTTCATGTGCATGGGCCAGCCAGGGTCCTAATAGGCCAGCCAGGGTCCACTTCAATAACAGTGCTTGTAAAAGTAAGAGCATGGGTAGCCAGCAAGCATGCTAAAAAAGCAGGTGCTAAAAAGTGGAGGCTTATGCATGTACAAGCTACCCAAAGTAAGATGTGTTTCCTGAGATAAACTGGAGAGGAAACGCCTATTCAGATAAACAAGACACATCTTATCAATGTAAAATAAATCACCTAGCCAGAAATTTCTTGCATTTCTGCCGAAAAACGTATTTACAAACTATGTAGGCAAGTTGTTCTGCGATGCCACCTCACTGTGGCCATGTCTCAAGATTTATGGTTAGTGACATTTGCAGTAACCAGGTAGTAAATCGAATCTCACATGAGAAGAATGAAATATGGAAATGTAAAGTGAATCCAAGAATAGTATTTTTTTGACAAGAAAAAGTCAAGACCCAGAAAGGTATGGATGGCTTTGTGTACTCCTCTAAACCATTTTTCTACTATAAAGCATTCACATTTCAGAAAATCAAAGATGAAGCAAAGAAGTAGCAAAGACGTTTAAAGGTTCAAAATACCCTGGCGTCTATTCATAACCGCTCAGGAGCAGAAAGGAAAATCAGTTAAATTTGGCTTCTCTCTCAGACAGTTCGATGATGATCCCCTGATGCTACAGAATTTAATGCAAACTTCTTCCGCCGGTCAAGGCGACCGGGCAATTGGTAAAGATTCACACTTCCCCTGAGCTTCTCACTACAGCTGACACAGTGACCAAGAACGAGTATCTCTTCCCTTCTTCACTTCTAATCTGGAAATGAAACCATGACCCACCCTCAGAGGATGCGTTTCAGTCATCTTCCTACTCTTTAGTTCTCTCCTAACCGGGCTAGCATCTAAGTGGCTGCGCATTCAGCCCTTGACATTCTCTCTTCCCCAGCTCCTCACTTCGGCGAGTGAGCCGGGGTTCGCCTCTCGTCAAACCTGTGAAATAATCCACTCCTTCGGACTTGGAGATACTTCTCAAAAAAAAAAAAGAAAGACTATATATATATAAACTTTGGTCTCTAGAAAGGGCATGTCAAGTAACGATTTCATTCAAAACCCTTTCAGAAAGTGGAACTTATCATTAGCCAATTACTCTTCCAAACAAGAAATTAACACACACACACAATTTGCGGGAAAATTCTGTCAGGCGCTGAGAAAGTATGTCAGGTGGAAAGCACCCAGCCCCTCCGGGTCTTCGTCTCTGACCCGAGGACCCGCTGAGGACAGCGTTCCCGCCGCGCTCTGCCTGGGACTGCTCGCCGACCCCGCCCGGTGCCCGCCTGCCCCTCCTGCCCTCCATCCCTTCCGGGAGGGAACGGCTGCGGCCGCCAGGACTGCGGCAGGTCTGGGGTGGGCGGAGGCATACGTGGCCGGCTCTCCCCCCACGTCCCGGAGCGCGCGGCCGCCACTTACATGCCCGGACGGAGCTGAAGGGCTCTGCCTGGCCGCCAGCCGGCGGCCACCCAAGCGCACCAGAGCCACACCAGAGCCACAGTCGCCAGGTCATCTCCGCCGGGCGGAGCTGCTCCAGCCGCCACGCCGGCTGCGCGCCGCGCGCCACTCCGGCTCCGCAAGTCCGAGCCCCGCGCAGAAGTTGAGCTCGCTGGGCGGGCAGAAGTTGGTGTGCGGGCTCGCGGGTCCAACGAGATGCGTCTCCCTGCGGAGGGCGCGAAAGCAGCTCGGCCCCACTAGGCATCACCCGCGACGCGGAGAGCGCAGGCGGAGCGCCTTGGCGAGTCCCCGAGGCGCCCGGGGCCGCTGAGATGCTCGCCCATGCTCCGCCGGGAGCGACTGGCAACCTGCGAGCCCAGCAGCCCCGCAGCTTCCTCAGCCTCGGTGCCATGGAAACGCGCTCACCGCCCTCCGGGCCCGGCCCCTCCGGAGCGCTTAAAGAGACAGCCCCGCCGCCACCGCGGCTCGACTAGCTGTCGGGCGCCCCCCACCCCCGCGCCCTCCTCACCCGCTCCTCTCTCCCGCGCCGCCAGGAGGAGGCGCGGCGGGGGCTGGACGCTGGGGGCTGGAGGGGCAGCTAAGAAGATATTTAGGGAGCTCTGCTCAATCCTCCCGCCTAACCCTGCTACCTACCTCTTCCTACCCACCCACCCAAGACACACACCCAAACCTCGCCAAAGAGACGAAGCGGCTCTGGCTTCCCCTCACACACCAACCTGCTCAGAACCAAGCCAGCTGTACATCTGCCACAAACAGAGACCAAAGGAAGGCTGACTTTTGATTCTTGCTTGCTCCGCTCGCTCCCAACCCGAGTCTTGGGAGTCGGTCAGAACACAGGCCCGGGGGGGGGGCGGGGGGGGGGGGGGGAGGCGAGGTCGGTTTGAAGTAGGAACCAAACAGCAGTTGATTGAGTCAAATCTCCTGCCAAATCGACAGTTGCAGGGCACATCGTCGGCTCATCCAGAAATCCTCGTTACTCCAAATGGGATCATCTCCCTTCAGTTTATTTGGCCACCGTCTATCTCACCCCCTTCAGGCACCAGAGTTATGAGAAGGAGCCAACGCTTTTCCAAACCTACTCCCTCCTTTCCTTCAAACCAGCTCCTCTTCCCCCAAATTTGCTGAGGAGCAGTCAGTTGCGAGCCCCCAGAGCCCTTCCAGAAGGGAACGGCGTCTGCTCGGAACGGGAGGCATAGGCTGCGGTGCTGGCCCGCCTGCCTGGGACGCATAGCCAAGCGCCGCGCGGTCGCCAGCAGCTCCGGCCCGAAGAGATGCCTCTGCCCGGCGCCAGCTGCTGTCTGGAAGGCCACAAACCTCTGGAGTCTGATTCGTGAAAATAAAAATCTATGGTGCATTGTGCCCTCCAACAAGGACAGCCCGGCTCCGAAGCCATAATCTGTTCAGCCCTGCAGGAAACAGATCAATCTGCAGCGGCACAACTTTGTTCTCTGATTCCTAAACTTACCAAAAGTGGCTCTCCAATGACTCACTCATAGTCAAACATTTAAAGTGGTACCACCTGATTGCCTCAATCCTAGGAGCCTTAAAAGGATCTACCCCAAATGGTCTTTGGGGCTTCCCTTTGCCCTTCATAGCTGAATTAACCATCTGGCTCTTAGTTTCAGTCTTCTGAGCCTTTGTTCTCCCTTCTTTTCTTTCTTCTTTTTCTGCAACTAAAGAAGCAACTGGGCATTTACAGGGGAGACCGGGGAACAAACTTTTGGGGTTTCTATGAAAAGAAAGAAAAAGATGAGGGTGCGTTAGAACCATTCCACTCCTGAATTATTTCGCATTCTGTGACTTTGCCCTCCTTGATTTGGGGAGCTGGAGTTCACACCACCCTGCCGTCTTCCCTATTTCTCCTAGACATATTTATTCTTTTTGCTTTTTTTTAAATTGAAGTTAAAGTGAAAAATCATAAATATACAACTAGATGATATCTCTATCTTTTGACAGATATCTTTAACAAACAGAATTTTGAAGCAATTTGCACAATAGAAATCATTATTTGAACCCCTTATTTTATAAAACAGGGATTCATTCTTTCTTTTTTTTCTAAATGCTTGTTATACATGAACCAAACCTTCTCCAATCACAGAGCGGATTTCGGGAAAGCGCTGACATCTGTTGTAGAAATGCATTGTCACTTGGCTAACTCTTAATTAGTTCTGATAATGACATGCCCAGCATGGGTCGCTGAAACACATTGATAATTTTAACATCTATTTTTAACTCTTAGTTTTAACTTCTCCTGAAACTCTTTGTCACCTTTGTTACCAAGTAACAAAGTTGAATGCTTAATTTCACATCCTCTTCTTTCTCCTCTCCCTCTTCTAGTGAGGTGCTAATGAACAGTGAAATGACCAAGGGCAGGCAGGGCACAGTGAGGGCGGAAATAAAGAAAAGGAAACTGGTAATTCACAGTAATGGTGATTCCTGAACTGTGTGTACTAACTACATAAGGTGAGGCTGTTTTTCTTCCCTTCTGGATGTACGTAGAGGTGAAAAGATTAACTCTTTCCATTGATTCAACTTTTAGTTTGTCTTTGGATGAAACCTAAAGACTCCGGGTTATTTCAATATAGTTTGATCTTAATTGTTTTAATGAAAATGTATAGCACACCCAAAGATGACAGTATAGCTTAACTGTACCCTGAAATTCATATGATTTGCTAAGCCTTTCTTTGCTTCTGGAATAGTTTTAACTCCGTAGGGCTCTGTCTTCAACTAATCTCATTCTCTCCTGGAGTGTAAAAAGTTTCTAATCATTTTTTTTTCTTTATATTACAGAAAGCCTTGCATAAATAATAGACCTTCTTTATTACAAGGCTAAATTTTATGTAAGCCACAGCTGAAACTCAGAACTATTTTAAGAGCTAAAGAATAATGGGGAAATACAGGAATGTATGTAAATTATCTGATTGCATGGTTGTTTAATAAAGGGCATGCTTAGTTTGGGTACAGGGGAAGTGAATCAGTAAGTTGAAAATCCCAAATTAGAAAAATTTCCTTTTATGTACATTAGTTTAAAACCATGTTTATTATAGATGAATATTTAAAAGTACTTCGGATGTGACGCTAAATGTGATTAGTGTATATTTCATAAAGTGAGGTTGATTTCGAAATATTATAGCATGGATAATAATATAACACAATGCCATGTAAGCAATTACCATTAAATGAAATATACTCTTCCAGCATAGGGATTTAAAATTTTCCATGAACTGGGAAGCCCTAATATGGACTCAGCTCTCCTTCTGCAGTCTGTTCATACAATTTAAAAATAATTGGTAATTTGGTTTTATTGGCTGGTTATGCTATTCTCTTAAAAAACAGTGCATTATGAAACCTGTTAGTTACAGTCTTACACAGTAAAAAAGCAATGCAGTTTGGTTTGGGGATGCTATGAACACACAAAATGAAGCCAGATACAGACAAAACCATTCATTCAGCGTTTATTGCCCAACATGAAAGAAATTTTAAAATTTAACAAAGCAAGGGAATGAGCCACATACACAAAGAATCAACTTTTTAGATTAAGAGAGAGAGAAGTTTTGTGATGATGGCATCCGTTGCTCAGACATAAATTTCATGGAGGAAAAAAACAGACACATCATGAATTGGGTTTTATTTTTGTGAATGGTATTTTACACTGCCAACCTGAACAGGTTTTTAAAAATGGGTTTGATATAGCAGACAAATGTTCTCTCTGAGAAGAGCCCGAAGGATTTGGGGGGACCTCCGGTGGGAATGCCACATGCTACCCCACTCTCTCCAGACCTGCACCAAAGGAGTGATAAATCTAACTAGCTTCTCCCTTGTAAGGAGGAGCTGGGGTAAGCCAATTTCACGCTTTATATATGCTCGTTGTAAAAAGGAATGCTTACCTAAAAAGAAATAGATTCTGACCAGATGTTCCAAAATCTTCCTCAGCTGCTGCTTGAAGCTTTACAGTCCCCGCATACTTTATCTTCTCGTCTATCTTCTTCTAATTGAGAAATTGTTGATCCATGCAGTTCGACAGGCAGGCTGCTGCAAAAACCTTCCTGCCAAAGCTTTTCAGCCCTGCTCTCCTGCACACAAAAACTTCCAGTGTCTGTATGGGGACAGGAAAAGAGAACAGGCCACTTCATCTGGCAGGTGTTGTGGGTGGAAAGAGGAGGAGGTCAGAAAGCAATTCTTCAAAGGACAGATTCTGTCACCTGAAAGTGTAATAAATTGCCATTATAGAAATGCCTACAAGCACTAATGAGCCATGTACATTGAAATCTTGATGTCAGGCAAAATAGAATGAAATTCACCCAGGAACCAACTGGGATTGTCACACCAAGATGTGAATAATCATTCTTGCTTTGGTTTCATCTGCCACTAAATTTTGTCCCTACAAACCAATAGCTCTCTTTTTAAGGAAAGTGATAAATTTAGCATAAAGCTCCTAAGATATCTGTCTAGTGATTAATACATAATTTCTCAGTACTGTGCTACTCATTGGCCGTAAAGACTTGACCAATCAGATGTGAGTTATAATAGAATTACCAGCTCCAGAATTATGTATATTTATTAGAACATAATTAGAAGATCAGCCCAGATAAACATTTGACTTGTACTTTTTTGGAAACTGTACTTTACACAGCTAATTTCGTGTGTGTGTGTATGTGTGTATGTTAAAAAAAAACCATGTAACATTAAATTTACTCTCTTAACCATTTTTAAATATACAGTTCAACAGTGTTAAGTATATTCACATGGTTGTGCAATAGATTTCTAGAACTTTTTCACCTTGCAAAACTTAAACTCTATTCCCATTAAACAGGAATTCCCCCTTCACCTCTCTGCTCAGCCCTTGGGAAACAACTTTCTACTTTGTTTCTATGCTTTTGACTACTTTAGCCACTTCATGGGTAGAATCATACAGGTTTTGTTCTTTCATGACTGGCTTATTTCACTTAGCATAATGTCCTCAGGATTCATCCATGTTGTAGCATGTGACAAATTTCCGTCTTTTTTAAGGCTGTATAATATTCCATTGTAGGTATATGCCACATTTTGTTTATCCATTCATCTGTTGATGGACATTTGGGTTACTTCCACCTCTTGGCTATTGTGAATAATGTTGCAATGAATGTGGGTGTGCAAGTATCTCTGCAAGATACTGCTTTAAATTCTTTCGGATATATACTCAGAAGTGGGATTGCTGGATCATATGGTAATTCTATTTTTGGTTTTTGGGGAAACCTCTATGCTGTTATCCATAACAGTTGCACCTTTCTATACTTCCACCAATAGCGCACAAGAGTTCCAATTTCTCTACATCCTCGCCAACAC